CTTACAGTTTGACATCTATCTGATTTAGATTTTTGATGGAAATAGAGACCGGAACACTGTTGTCCGTCATAACCTAAATCCAACAATCCTGGCCGCACGTTTGATCCGTTTCCAACCAGTAGCTTGGTGGAGGCACATATCAATGAGAGTGGAGCTGTACGGGTGCCCTCTAGGTGCTGTGCAAGGTAATGTTTTTCATCATTATTTCAATGAAAGCTATAAAATTGATATTCTCAAACTCATTTATGATTCATCAAGTTTGAACAAAGGAAAATCATGACCGCGAAGGGCGTTTGGTTATCTGATATTAAAATGCATAGATTTTTACGATTTTATTTCTCCGTTTTCTCTTTAGTTTTAGATTTTATTGAGAAGATATATCGAACTCTCAAGACAGTATTTGACCACCATTTCCAAACACCTCGAAGTTCGTCAAAAACACTCCTCGTCGCGTATTTTCAACTCTCATCTCGGTGTCTAAAAGTGTGGTCAAACGCTCGAGATATTTCTTCAAATTCCTATAAGTGAATGATCTTCTGCGAATAAGTGACCGACGGGCATAAAACCTACTTGTGAGACCTTAGAATGAGTTTCAGATAAAGAGTATTCTTTGGAATATTCTGCAATGATGATGTGAGCTTTTGCATTTTTAAATGCAAGAAATCGTCAAAAATTCGAGCAACTTACTTTTCAAATAGGAACTCTCCAGTTTTCATTTGTCATTTGGCCGTTACCATACATTTGAAAAACAACAATTTTTTTGGATCGGACACTCATCGAGAGGGATGGTAAAATGCTTGAACAAATTGTTTGAATAGGTTGATTCTGATGTTTTTTATAAAATTCTAACTTGGTGCCAATGCTTGGGAGAATACAGCAATTTTTACTGTCCTTAAACCTCGATGTGAATCCTCGGCCTCGGAATCAAGTGAAAATAGCTAAATAGACCATATTTCCGAATTACGTTTAACCTGTGAGGGTAAATTAATCAACATGACACGAGCGTGGGACAAAGAAAAATTCTGGACGGGCGCTCTATCCACTGAGCAACGAGAACTCATGGAGAGCAAGGTCATTTAACTGAGTTCATATATGACAGATGTCCTGTATACTACTAGGATCAACGCTATCGAAGTCATCGTGAGTAATGATGAGTTACTGACCTGAGTTAATGAACTCAGTTAAATGACCTCGCTCTCCATGAGTTCTCGTAGCTCA